AAGTACCTCTTTGAGTGTGTGCATTTTTGTCATTCTATAACTAGCCTACCTCACCATTATTATAACTTTTTGTACTACATCTAAATTGTGACCATGAAAACATTAAAACCAGTTTCTACATGTTGCTTACAAGCAAAAAAAGAAAAAGTATATTGGATTACATCAAAATAAAATTTTTGTGTGGCAAATGGTGCCATCAAAAAAGTGAAAAGACAACCCACAGAATGGGAGAAAATATTTGCAAATCATACATCTGATAAAGGACTTACACTGAGAATATACAAAGAACTCTTACAATAAAATAATAAAAAGTCAAATACCAAGAAAAAAAGCTTTCAGACTTTCTCCAAAATAGGTATTTAAATGGAAAAATAAGCATAGGAAAAGATTTTTAATATCGTTAGTCACTAGGGAAATGCAGATCAAAATCACAATGAAATACTACTTCATATTCACTAGTATAGCTGTAATTATAAAGACAGATAATAGAAAGTGTCAGTGATACCTGAAATATTGTTGTAACTCTCACATATTGTTAGTAGAAATATATACAGTACAGTTGCTCTGAAAAACAGATTTGCAGTTCCTCAAAAAGTTAAATGTAGAATTATCACATGACCCAGTGATTCTCTCCCAGGCATATACCCAAGAGAAATGAGAGCATACACCCACACAAAAACTCTAAATGAACATTCACAGCAGGAGAGTTTTCAAGTCAGAAAGTGGAAACAATCCAAATTAATAGATAAACAAAATGTGGGATGTACTTACAATGGAATATTTGGCAATAAAAAGAAACAAAGTACTACACACTGCTAACATCAATGGCCCCTGAAAAATTATGTTAAGTGAGAAAAGCCCAGTCACAAAATCACATATTGTATGAGTCCAATTATATGAAAAGTCTAGAATAAGCAAACTGATAAGGAGTCAATGAATGGTTACTTAAGGCTGGTGGGGGTGCGGCAGCTGTGTGTGAAGGAATGGGAACTGACTGCTAATGATTGAGTACTGAGTTCTTCAGGGGAGAAAAAAATGTTCTAAGGATGCATGATATTGTTGGTAAGAATGTAAACTGGTGCAGCAACTGTGGAAAACAGTATGGAACTACCATAGTGTTTTCTCAAAAAACTAAAAACAGAAGTAACTATATGAATACAGAAATTCCACTCCTGGGTATATATCTGCTGCTGCTAAGTCGCTTCAGTCGTGTCCGACCCTGTGAGACCCCATAGACGGCAGCCCACCAGGCTCCCCCATCCCTGGGACTCTCTAGGCAAGAACACTGGAGTGGGCTGCCATTTCCTTCTCCAATGCATGAAAGTGAAAAGTGGAAGTGAAGTCGCTCAGTCGTGTCCAACTCTTAGCGACCCCATGGACTGCAGCCCACCAGGCTCCTCCGTCCATGGGATTTTCCAGGCAAGAGTACTGGAGTGGGGTGCCATTGCCTTCTCCAGGTATATATCTGAAGAAAACAAAAACACTAATTCAAAAAGACACATGCACCCAATGTTCTTAGCAGCACTGTTTACAACAGCCAAGATATGGAAGTGACCTAAGTGCCCATCAACACATGAAAGGATAAAGAAGATGTAGTACATATACATATACAATGGAGTACTACTCAGCCATAAAAAAGTGATTATTTTTTTCACCATTTGCAACAACATGGAGGATATTATGCTTAGTGAAATAAGTCAGAAAGACAAATACCATATATTATCACTCATGTGAAATCTAAAAAATAAAGAGCAACCTACTGAATATAACAAAAAGATGCAGAAAACAAATTAGTGGTTATCAGTGGGGACGGAAGAGGGAGAGCAAAATAGGGGAGGGGATTAAGAAATACAAATTTCTTTACATATAATAAATAAGTTACAAGCATATTGTTCAGCAGAGAGAATATAGCCAATATTTTATATTAACTATAAATGAAGTGTAAACTTTAAAAATTGTGAACCACTGTTTGCACACCTAAAACTTATATAATATTTTAAGTCAAATATACCTCAATTTTAAAAAAAGATCTAAAATTAGATGGTGGCGATGGTTGCACAAACCTGTGGATACTTTAAAAAATTAAATTATATTCTTTAAATGGATGAACTGTATAGTACATGAATTATCTTAATCAAGCTGCTTTTATTTTATTTATTTTTTTTGGACTAGATTCATTATATTTATTTATTTTTCCACTTATTTTTATTAGTTGGAGGCTAATCACTCCACAACATTGCAGTGGTTTCTGCCATACACTGACATGAATCAGCCAAAGATTCACATGTGTTCCCCATCCCGATCCCCCCTCCTGCCTCCCTCCCCACCCCATCCCTCTGGGTCTTCCCAGTGCACCAGCCCCAGGCACTCATCTCATGCATCCATCCTGGGCTGGTGATCTATTTCACCCTTGATAGCATACTTGCTTCAATACTGTTCTCTCAGAACATCCCACCCTTGCCTTCTCCCACAGAGTTCCAAAGTCTGTTCTGTATATCTGTGTCTCTTTTTCTGTTTTGCATATAGGGTTATCATTACCATCTTTTAAAATTCCATATATATGCATTAGTATACTGTATTGGTCTTTATTTTTCTGGCTTACTTCACTCTGTATAATGGGCTCCAATTTCATCAATCTCATTAGAACTGATTAAAATGAATTCTTTTTAATGGCTGAGTAATATTCCATGCTGTATATGTACCACAGCTTCCTTATCCATTCATCTGCTGATGGGCATCTAGGTTGCTTCCATGTCCTGGCAATTATAAACAGTGCTGCTATGAACACTGGGGTGCATGTGTCTCTTTCAAATCTAGTTTCCTCGGTGTGTATGCCCAGGAGTGGTATTGCTGGGTCATATGGCACCTTGAATAGTCAAAGCAATCTTGAGAAAGAAGAATGGAACTGGAGGAATCAACCTGCCTGACTTCAGACTCTACTACAAAGCCACAGTCATCAAGACAGTATGGTACTGACACAAAGACAGAAATATAGATCAATGGAACAGAATTGAAAGCCAAGAGATAAATCCACGTACCTATGGACACCTTATCTTAGACAAAGGAGGCAAGGATATACAATGGAAAAAAGACAACCTCTTTAACAAGTGGTGCTGGGAAAACTGGTCAACCACTTGTGAAAGAATGAAACTAGAATACCTTCTAATACCATACACAAAAATAAACTCAAAATGGATTAAAGATCTAAATGTAAGACCAGAAACTATAAAACTCCTAGAGGAGAACATAGGCAAAACACTCTCTGACATAAATCACAGCAGGATCCTCTATGACCCACCTCCCAGAATACTGGAAAATAAAAGCAAAAATAAACAAATGGGACCTAATTAAACTTAAAAGCTTTTGCACAACAAAGGAAACTATAAGCAAGGTGAAAAGACAGCCCTCAGAATGGGAGAAAATAATAGCAAACGAAACAACAGACAAAGGATTAATCTCAAAAATATACAAGCAGCTCCTGCAGCTCAATTCCAGAAAAATAAATGACCCAATCAAAAAATGGGCCAAAGAACTAAACAGACATTTCTCCAAAGAAGACATACAGATGGCTAACAAACACAAGAAAAGATGCTCAACATCACTCATTATCAGAGAAATGCAAATCAAAACCACAATGAGGTACCATTACACGCCAGTCAGGATGGCTGCTATCCAAAAGTCTACAAGCAATAAATGCTGGAGAGGGTGTGGAGAAAAGGGAACCCTCTTACACTGTTGGTGGGAATGGAAACTAGTACAGCCACTACAGAGAACAGTGTGGAAACTCCTTAAAAAACTGGAAATAGAACTGCCATATGATCAAGCTGCTTTTAAAAATGCAGGGATACTGCCTCTGATGAGCATACTGGTAGACCGAACAAGCTGAGGAAAGAATCTAAGCTTGAGGATATCTCAACAGAAATCTCAAAAACTGAAAAGTAAAGAGAACAAAAATTTTGGGGGGGCGGGGGTGAAAAAGACTATCCAAGGAACATAAGGTAACTACAAAAGGTGTAATGGAAATACCAGAAGAAGAAAAAAACCAGAGGAAGAGAAGAAATATCTGAATCAATAATAACTGGGGGGACTTCCCTGGTGGTCCAGCCGTTAAGAATACAACCTGCAATGCAGGGGATAATAGTTTGATCCCCGATTGGGGAACTAAGACCCCACCTGCGGCAGGACGACTAAGTCCATGTGCCACAACTACTGAGCCACAACAGCGAGCTCACATGCCACAACTAAGATCTGAAGAAGTAAAAAATAAACAAAATAATGACTAAACATTTCACAAATTAATGTCAGACATCAAACCCCAGATATAGGAAGCTCAGAGAGTACCAAACAGGATACATATCAAAAAAGAGAAAAACTCAGCTATACCTACACATATCATTTTCAAGCTATAGAAAATAAAATTCCTCAAAGAAACCAGGAAAAAAAACCAAAACTACTGTGGAACAAAGTTAAGAATTATATCCAACTTCTCAGAAAAAAGCAAGCAAAAAGAGAGTCAAGTAAAATATTTAAAGCACTGAAAGAAAGAAAGCACCAATCCAGAATTCTGTACTTTACAAAACTAATCTTTCAAAAGTAAAGGAGAAATAAAGACTTTCTCAGAGAAACAAAAACTGAGGGAATTTGTTGCTAGCCAGCCTATCTCGCAAGAAATGTCAAAAAAAAATTCTTAGAGGAAAGGAAAATGACATAGGTCAAAAAATCAGATTTACCTAAAGAAAGGAAGAGCATCAAAGAAGGAATAAATAAAGGCAAAATAAAAATGAGGGATAATCACAGAAACAAAATGAAGGAAAGGAAGGAAGAAGGAAAAACACAAACCTGCTTGATGGAAAAAGAGAGTGTACAAAAAGTACTATGAATGGAAAGGGGAAGCCAAGCCAGGAAAAAGTAATTTTTTTAGAAATAAACCACAAAATGGATAAATTACATGCATGTAATCGACAGCCAGCAATCGCATATTCCCAACAAATCAGACATACCTACATCCCTGATGAAATTCTGGGGTCTATGTCCAGTGTCTACAAAATGTTGGCAGTAATCATTATGGGGATTTAAACTCTGTGTTCCCTAAAGAAAAAGTCAAAATTAAATTAATAGATTTCACTCTGGTGGCAGATACATTAACTCGGAGCTTTTTTTTTTTATTATGAGGCCAAGCAAAATATAAGCTAACTGATAGATTTAAAAAGTAAAAAACATCACTACTAAAATGATAGTTTACAATTCAGTTATCTACAAAAATTAATAGCCAAGCATCAGAAAAACATTTCATGAATAATTTTAAATGATATTTTATTTTATGATAATAATGATCCCTCAATAACTGAAAAAAAATCTTGAACATAAATAAGTATTTAAAATCTTTTCAGGCACAGAGCTGAAACATGAAAAGTTAAAGATTTGAAAATTATTTACCTTAAGAAAAGTACTAGAATCTTTATAAATCTCTTCTTCATATGGCAAATTCTCTTCCTCCTGTTGCATTTCTAATTCATCCTTAAAAAAGGAAGAGTAAGTATATTTTATGTTTAAGAGGAATCTTATGTATTATATCATAAGTGTTAAGACTCATAAACACTTCATTTCCCTAAGACATACATCTTTCAAATTACCATTAACTCAAACATCGACGTCTTTGCTTTCCCATCATTACCTGTAACTATGTTTATAATAAAAATTTCCTTTTCATTCTCAATAATAACTGTCCATAACTACTAATTTTGTTGACTAAGTTATCTAGATTTACCTTAGATATAATACTTGAAATTATTAGATGCTTAAATCATGAAAGACAGGCCCACCAATGGGGCAATTTTATTTCTACTAGAGCAAACTGAAAGAAATTGCTATTTTATAGGTCAAAAATGTTAAAATATTAGGAACTGTATATGCTTTAATCTAACATAGTCACAAATATTTAAGTTATATATTAGGATATATCAAATGCAACCAACACACAATATTGTTGTTTCACTAAGTTGTGTCCAACTCTTTGCGACCGCATGACTGTAGCCTGCCAGGTCCCTCTGTCCACAGGATTTCCTAGGCAAGAATACTGGAGTGGGTTGCCATTTCCCCCTCCAGGGAATCTTTCAAACCCAGGGATTGAACCCACATCTCTTGTCTCCTGCACTGGCAGGCACATTCTTTACACTAAGCCACCAGGGAAGCCCAACACACAACATAGTTTTTATGAAATTAGGTAATTATACTTAAGAGATTTACTGGAACTATTTATTCTCTTCTGTTAAATATAGCTGCGTAACAATTTGAAAAAGTGGAGATAGGTTTTTTGCCCTTTGCTTTTTTTTCACCTAAATAATGCAACTATAAGTTCATAAGTTGGGTTTTTTACCTTGGGCCTCTGTTAGAAATGCTTCTACACTGTTATCTAGCCCATGGATTCTCAAAATATTTTAACTGCACTACCGTATATTGTTAAGATGGAATAACACAACTCATAAAAGATAGTAGTGTAAATTGAAAATTTACTGAAAATTGATCCAATTATCCAACGTTTCTGATACATCTACCCCCTTGCTCTTATTTAAGAATGTTGTTGTCTAGAGCTTACTAGGCATGGCGCTTAGTGCTTTATATATATCACCTGATTTTATCCACATACCTCTTCTTTTAAAATGAGTAAATTGATATAAATGGTGACACATATGCTACTGACATTATTCAGTGTTTTGTCAAAATTCAACTTTTGTCAAATTTGTTTTCCTAGATAAGACTCTACAGATTGTACAGACTTATTTTTTTTCTTGACCAAAACACTGTCCCATTCTCTACTTGCCTTATATTCTTCCACCTTGTCTTCATCTGTCTCTCCTTCATCCTGATACTTACGTTTTGCGTTTGGAGCAGAGGTATCGTAGGAAGCCCTGAAAATTAAAACTGAAATATCACTCACAAATACATAAGATGTATACATGTATCCATTAATATTAAAGAACAGTTTTACAGAGACAGAACAAGGCAAAATTTTCCTAACTAAACAGTATCCATTCACTCAGTTTATAAATTTTAAAAGTATCACAACCTGATTAATAACTTTGTACTTTATTTTTGAGAAAGCAACCAAATGAGAAAATAAATTTTTAAAAGGTGTATGTACGGAAAGAGAAATTTCTACATTACATATCATTCTAATCTGTCTTGAGTGAAACTGATGTTCTAACTGGTAACTACAATACTGAAAAATTCTAAATGCTTTATGAACTATCAAATGAGTACCACTTTTAGGGTAAAGTACTTTTTTTAAAATAAGGATTTTTAAAATAAAATTATATATGGTACATTAGCTAATTCTCAGTCTAACATTCCATTTTCTAACTAGCTCACAAATGAGAACTTACTTATATTCAGAAAATAAGCATTCGTAATTCATAGACAATAAAAATCAATGTTTTCCAAATTGGTATGCTGATGTTTATCATAACAACATACTTGATACCAAAGATTATTGTTTATTAAAGCAATGATCCTTCTGTAAATATTAACATATCACTTATAAAAAGCAATTATTCTACTGACCTGCAAGTTTCTCTTGTTTCAGCAATTTCTCTCTGCTCATCTTTGCTATTTAACACAGCACCAATGCTGTCAGCACTTTCAGCTCCCAACTGAGAAAAGGCAAAAATCAGAATACAATGCACTAAACATCCTTTCTAGCCATTTGTAGCAGCATTTAATACTTCAAATATTAAAAAAAAAAAAAAAAATCCCTAACTACGGTAGCAAGCAAATGGACTATTTACCTTGCAGGAAAAAAAGAAAGTACCTTGAAACAAAACCACATTATTTAAGAATGATTTCGACAGCTGAAAAGTATTTTATGCTTTATGAAATCAAAACAATTAACTTGAGCCAATCTTCTTTTAAATAATAAAACACAATTTAGCAGTAGTAATAGTAACAACAAAAAAAAGCAGCTAAGCGTTTACAGTTTGATAGGCGTTATGTTAAACACTTTTCATCCATCTACATACCATAGCTTATTTATTTTATATAGTACATATACTTCATGCGCTACATCTTATTTATCCCATACTGTAATAAATACCTATTTGGTTTTATTCAAGCCAAGTCTTTATATAATGATTACAGGCACAATACTAAACTTTCCAAATACCTGAAAAATAGTTATGCAAATTATGGCTGGCAGTTGGGGAAATTTTGCAAAATACAAATGTAAACAAATCCCTAGTTGAGATAAGTCTGGCTACAAACTGTGGCATCAATTCATGAAAAAATTAAAAACCAAACCAAAGGTATAGAAAGCAATTTATAGGCCATGAGGAATCACTTAATATTTTTAAGCACAAGAAGAGCATAAGGAAGTCTGCATTCAATAGTCCCTTAAGCTCAAAACAGGTGAGAAAGCATACAATACTAGAGCCCAGCCTTTATTAAACAATTATATTAATTCCCATTGCCTCTTTAGACTATTCCATGACTCCCCTAAGGTTTCTCCAATGATACATCTCTTCCAATATTATTAACTGTTCTGATATTTTAACTCTTCCATAAAATTTTCCTGACCCCTACTCTTTCGTCAGAAAACGTATCTACTTCCTGTAAGGGAAATGCTTTTTAACCTTCTTCCCATGAAAGCGACTGACTCCACTCCCTTCAGTTTTCAGATAAACACAAGTCAGTTTCTCTGAGACTTCTTCCATGAACACTAGAGACAGAATAGGTAGTCTCCTTCCATTTTTCTCTTACCTCCTCATTTTCTCATTCAGATCAAAATACAAACTAATTTTGTTTTACTTTTGTTTATTCACTATTTATATTATTTTATATTTGTACACCTCAATTATTTTATGTTTACTTTTGTCTACTTCTCCCCCCACTGAATTGTTAGCTCACTGAGGAAAAACTCTGCCCTGTTGATATCTATATGTTCAGGAGCTATTATAAAGTCTGACTTATAATAGATGCTCAATAAATACGTGAATAAACCAATGAGATTTCTTGCCAAGGCCTAAATTAGAATACGATGTTTTATAAGACAAACGCTTTAAATCAAATTGTGCTTACATACATAATTGTCTTGTGTTCCAACATTATTTTTTTTTAATTGTGGAATGACTGGAGTAATTAAATAGACTTTCTATTGTGGGTGGGTGGTGTGTGTGTGTGTGTGTGTGTGTGTGTAAATAGACTTTCCATTGTGGGTGGGTGGGTGGGTGTGGGTGTGTGCGTTTGTCCAATTCTTTGGGATTCCCCCTTGACTGCAGCCCACCAGGCTACTCTGCCCATGGAATTTTCCAAGCAAGAATACTGCAGTGGGTTGCCATTTCCACTGTGGTAGCACTAAATATATTATTGGAATAATTATGACAATTTGGTATCCTTTGGAAGTATATTAATATTTTTAAAAACAAAGCTACAAGTTAAAGAGCAGGTGTAAATTACTGGTGGCAGCATCAATGGCCACAATCATAGCGTGTGCCTATACACTGCATCTGATATACCCAGCAGCCAAAAGAAAACCAAACAAATTACATACATTGAGTTGTGCTCTAGTTTGAAGTTCATGAACCAACAAAAGCTTATTAAAAACTAGCTTTGGGTAAGAAACAGAGTTAGGGCAAAAGATTAACCCAACTGGAACTGTCCGTATGAGTTAGTGATGTACAGTCGTGGACTCAACACTCAGGACAAGGGACGCACAGAGCGAGGAAAGCCTAAACCAGGGCATCCCAGACCGAGTTCCATCACAAAGCTCTGACCTGGGCTGTGCCATAAAGGACAGACAGAAATCAGAAAGAAAGGACACTTCTTGAAAATTATAAAGTCTATTATATTACACAAATAACTTCCTGGAGAGCAACCGTTTGTCTTGTTCACATAGTAAGTGAAAAAAAGGCTGCTGATAAAGTGGAAATCTACCATTGATGATATTGGCCATCCTCACCCAGGTGGAATGGTTTCTAACCAGTTATACCAACCAGGGAGCCAGGTGTATTGGAAAGAGCACAGAAAGGCCTAAGACTGAAGCTGGCAAACTTAAGTTTTGTCACCTTCAGCGTGTAAGGTAAATTCTTTGAGCTTTATTTTTTTCATCTATAAGATCCAGATAGCATTTGACTCGTATGATAAACTATAACATACGTAAGTCTGTCAAGTCCTCTGACACATACAAGGGACTTAATAAATGGCTGCTGCTGCTGTCACTTCAGTCGTGTCTGACTCTGTGCGACTCCATAGACGGCAGCCCACCAGGCTCCCCTGTCCCTGGGATTCTCCAGGCAAGAACCCTGGAGTGGGTTGCCATTTCCTTCTCCAATGCATGAAAGTGAAAAGTGAAAGGGAAGTCGCTCAGTCGTGTCCGACTCTTAGAGACCCCTTGGACTGCAGCCTACCAGGCTCCTCCGTTCATGGGATTTTCCAGGCAAGAGTACTGCAGTGGGGTGCCACTGCCTTCTCCGTAATAAATGGCAGCCATTATTAAATGCTGTACACTATGTAAGTTCTCTAAAGGTAGGATAACCTATTATTCATAGCTGAATTACCAACATCTACAAGAGTTCCTGGTACATAGTAAGACATTCAAGCAACAACTGTTTATGTATGTATTTTGAGTCAAATATAGGTCTGATTTCAAAACTTAAAGTGTAAAAATCTTACTTGGTTGTAAAAAAGAGCCACTGGACATTTTCAAACATAACATGATAAAAGCAACTGGGATAAAGAAGTCTTGAAAAAGATATCTGTTTGTCAAAAAAATCATAATGTCAGAGGCACAAAAACAGACCTGAGTCCAAATATCCACTTTTTTTTTTTGGCTTACATCACGGGGCTTAAGGGATCTTAGTTCCCAGGCCAGGGATTGAACCCAGGCCACAGCCATGTAATCGCAGAGTCCTAACCACTGGACCAACAAAGAAGTCCCTAAACACCGACATTTTAAACTCTATACCATAAATCTTTTCATCATGTCACAAAAGAAGCTATATCTTTGATTTTCATTTACTAAAACCAAGACTTATTACAAAAAAGTAACTATTTTCGAATAACTATTAAGATTCCTCATTAAAGCTTATGAGCATCTTCCCCATCACTTTTACTGACCCGAGGGGTCGAAAGGAAAACACAACCTGACTTTAAGCAAAGGTGTCCATCTGCATTTTCTGCATGTGTACTCTACTAATCAGCACCTGTCAACTTACACACAAGAAGCAGTGAAGACAAGCTTTGGAGAGACAAACCTGGGTTCAACTTATTGGCCTAGCGGTTAACGACTCAGGGGCGGTGTTGGGGGGGGGGGGGGCGGAATCAGTTAACCACCGGCGCTTGTGTTTCATTATGTGAACATAATGCTACCTCTTTCAGAGATTTGTTGTGACTGATAAATTCAAACATTTAGCTGTGGGTAATGACGAGGATACCGTACACAGCACAGTCGACTGCAACACCCATGATGCAGAACCTAAAATTTACACTCAAGCTACTTCCAATGCGGTCTTTAGATATTATCCTAGGGAAAAAAAAAAAAAAAAAACACTGTAAACCTATTTCACAATGAAGCCACAATCTCATGAATCAGGTGCTGATACGAGAAAAGCAAGACACAAACGACTACTTAAAAAGTGAACAGAAATTTAGGGGCTAACGAGTCCCCTTTCCTCGCGTGAACTGCGAAAGTTTATACACAAAACACCAAAGTTTTGTATCCTCATCACTGAGGATGCCAGACAATCGACGGGCAATCCAAACATGATGCTGAAGACCAGGCGTGGCGGTCGGTTTAGCACCACCACAAGGACCTCAACATGAAAGGGGAACGATTCGGGGAACAAGGGTAGGTAGGTCCTGGGATTTAAGTCTCGAGACCAGAAAGGGCTGCCGGTGGCAGGTGAGGAGACGGAAAAGCCGGGAGAAAGGGACGAGGAACGCCGCGCACGCGCATTCACGACCCCTCCCTGGGCCGCGGACCTGCTGCGCGAGAAGCTGTCGACGTAACTTCTGCCGCTCCCGGATCTCCTGCAAGCGGCTGTCCATGTCCCGACTTGTTTTCCACTGCCTCGGAAACTTGGCAATTAGCGGATGAATCCTTGCCCCAATTTCTCTTCGGAATGTGTGGAACACAAAATTTTCCAGCCGCTTCAGGAGGCCGGTACCCAATACCCTCTCCTCAGCAGGTATTTCCGGCGCGGCCGGAATTTTGCGCTACGGGGCCTGGAAGTCCCGCCTCCTCCCGGACGCCGCGATTTGACGCCATTTAGCAGAGGCCCAATGAGTGTCCTGCGGCGCCGGGGGCGTCACGGAAGGTGTCCGCCCTTCCGAGAGCGCGGGTTTTCAGAGTGGCGCGGGCAAGTGCCATGGCCTCTCACTGTTCTCTCCTGGGACTGCAGGCTTCCTAGGTCTGTTTGCACTGTTTCCGAGTTGTGGGCCGTATTGTCGATTCCCTTTTCCAGTAATTCCCCAGTTGCCAGTGCTGAGGTTTTAAAAATTGCTGGATACCAGGTTTTTTGCTAAAAGCACAACTCGAGTCCGATTGCCGGGTTTAAACCTGGGACTTACTAGCTGAATGGCCTTGGCTAGTTCATCACCGTCTGTGTGCCTCTAGTTTTCTCATTTGTACAGTGGGAGTGATAAGAGGGCCTACTTCACAGAGTTGAAGATTGAAAGAATAAGCAGAGCTAAAAGCATACCACCACGGAGCTGTTTATTGAGATTTTTATTATTACTCACATTTTCCTGTAGGCAGGAAACAACAATGCAGGAGACATGAGAGACATGGGTTCGATCCCTGGGTCAGGAAGATCCCCTGGAGGAGGGCATGGCAACCCAGTCGAGCATTCTTGCCTGGAGAATCCCATGGACAGAGGAGCCTGGCGGGCTGCAGTCCATGGGGTCACAAAGAGTTGTACACTACTGAAGCGCCTTAGCACTGCACAACCCAGGGGACAGTCACTGTATCTGCTCATGCTCCTCACAACTCACTAACCCCTGAGAAGTTTCCTATTTTACCAGAATACATTTTTATGGATTCTTTTGTTTAGGGAAGTGAATGTGTAATAAGTGGTTGAGACAGTGAAGAAACTGCTTGCAATGCAGGAGACCCAGGTTCGACCTTTGGGTCAGGAAGATCCCCTGGTGAAAGGAATGGCAACCCACTCCAATATTCTTGCCTGGAGAATCCCATGGACAGAGGAGCCTGGCAGGCTACAGTCCATGGGGTTGCAAACAGTTGGACAGGACTGAGCGACTAACACTTTCACTTTTGACTTTTTTTGTCCTATATTACAAGTTAATCACTAAAAGGATGCTTTCTATAATCTTAAGTTATACATAAACGGCCCATCTCTGGGAACCCTGCTTTCCAGGGAATGCACATTAGGCTAAAATCCTTCTCATAGGAAACATCCTGACCAGACCCACCTGTGAAGCACTGCCAGGAGAAAGAAATTAACACATCCCCCTCCAGAGGCTGATAGGAAACAGAAGGCGTTTGACTTTACTCCCTCCACTTTTACTATTAAAAAAAAAAGCCTCAATTCTAACTCAGGCAAGATGGTTCTTTGGGGCATGAGCCCACTCTCTTCTTGCTTAACTGACTTTCCAAAGGAAGTCATTATTCCTTGTCCCAACTACTTGCTTGCCTCTTGATTACTGGCCTTTTGTGCAGCAAGCAGTATAAGCTTAGACTTGGCAACAGATGGGTCAAAGGAAAACAAGTCTTGGGTGTATTCTAGAGGTCAGATGCTACGGGGCCCCCTTTTTGTGCTTGTGCATTTGTCTTAGCTGGAAATAACCCTGAGATATAAAAACAAATAGCCTACTGAAATAACCTGCTTGTAGCAGGGGACTCCGTGATGCTTCTCCTCTCTTTATATGAAGGCAGGAAAGACTGAAGTCTTAAGTTATTACCACTATACACCATATTATCATCTTATTCCAAATTCAAAGTACTAGCAGAAGTAGACTAAGAAAGTCATGTGGCTCCATGTTTCATTGGAAATTGTGGCAAGTACTTAGTAACGTTATATTCTTATATATATATGTCTATATTCTTCAAGAGGGGATTTACTTTTTGAAAATAGTATTAAATCCTCCAGATCAAAAGCAAGTGGTCCAGGCTAGGTCAAAAGGGCTAAACTCAGTAACAGGTGGGTCATAGTAAAACATGTCTTGGTTCATGTTCTAGAGGTCAGATGCTAGGGGTCCCCTTTCTGTGTTTGTTCATTTGTCTTAGCTGGAAATAACCAGTTCTAGACTCTACTGATTGTCATGTATTTCTCAATAAGTAGCTCTGAAAGGCAATTTCAAGAAGGAGTCTTAAAAATCCTTTGAGTAATGGCAGCACTACTTGAAAAAGTATGCTGACTTCCAAGGGCCCTGTACTGTAAAAGGCAATGCTAACTTGTACTTAAAAATTAGCTGCATCACTTGCCAGTCACATGAGTACTGATTTGAACTTTTATTGATCAGTGATGTAAATAGACATTTTGTTCACTCAAATATGCATTGATATTTATTGAGCATTTTATAGGACAGACACTATTATGGACCCTCGGGTATATAAAAAAACAAAAACAAAATCAGACAGTTTTCTTTAGGGAGCTTACTATTGAAAGGAGGGGAAAAAAAGTTTTCCTGGTAAAGTGCAGCACAGTGAGTGGTATTTGAGCCCCATACTCACCCACACTCTGCTCTGTGATGATGTTTGAGCTGGGAGTTCACAAACTGAATTTCCCAACTTTCCTTGTCTGATGGCTTCCTGTAAGATTCTGCCAAGAATTCTGCACAAGCAGAAGATTAGAAGGTGGAACATGGAAAAGCTATTGTCCTTTATTTCTCTGCCTCTCTGCTTCTATGTCTGGGGGAATGTCTGTGGCCTTTACAAAGTTGTAGAGCCAGTTGAGGAAGCCCCTCCTTAGTGGTTCAACCTTCCCTTTCCCCACAGTCAGGTGGATGTCCCCAGAAGTGACTGTGCTCTTGGGCTCTGAAAATACCACCTCCCCACTCTATCCTACCAGTTCTAGGGCTGGCAGCCACTTCGTGAAATTAGGAATTTGTGATTTAATCTCACTTTCCACTTTTTGCTCTTCTAGCCTTCAACATTTCTCCATAGCAAATGCTGTCTTTAGAATTCCTTGTATGATTTGTATTCCTGCCTGAAATGTGTACTGATAAAGAAGCAAATGTGTACTACCTTATAGTATTTACAAAGCCATTGGCATGTAGCAGAGAGTTGTTGCAGTTTTCACAAAGGGATGTAACTCTGAAGTCTGTCTCCCAATGAATTTTTAAAACACCAGACCACACCAGCACACCTGTAAAGTACTGTACATGTGCATCAGTAATATTTCTTCATCACAACAAAATAAGGGCCACTAGGAAATGTGTGTGGCAGGGGCAGGGGAAGAAGAAATTTGGAAATTCCCCAAATATAATTCATATTCTTTGAAAAAGCAGTTTTACTTGTAGGCACTTATTTGAAGGAAGTAATGAGAGATGCGGCTTTCCCAGGTGTCTCAGTGGTAAAGAATCCACCTGCCAATGCAGGAGATGTGGGTTCAGTTCCTGGATTGGGAAGCTCCCCTGGATGATGGAATGGCAACCCACTCTAGTTTTCTTGCCAGAAAAATCCCGTGGACAGAGGAGCCTAGCGGGCTATAGTCCATGGGGTCACAAAAGAGTCTGACATGACTTAGCAACTGAACAACAACAAATAAAAGATCTCGGCAACAATTAATGCAGCTCCCCTCTTGGTCTCCATCCCATAGGCCTACAAGTCCTGTGCTGACCCAGCTTCAAGCCCAGAGTTAGCAACAGAGACACCAATGGTTTAATGGATGGGGAACTCACATGTGTGAAGCAAAGTCCTGGAGCAACACCTCATGGTGTATGGCAGACGGCAGGCAAGACATGGTGGCCATCTTCACTGGCGCGACGGGAGTATATTACCAGTTATAAGGGAACTGATGTCAGGTGGGCTCATTAGTTACTAGGGAAACCAGTAGAGGGGCATGCCCCTCACCACCCCTTTGATGAGAACAATCACTAAATCACTAGCTGAAGCCTGAGGCAAGTTCATAGGAAGGTCAGCCATCTGATTAGGGTGCAGGCAGTAGGGGTGCAGGGCATGTGCAGAGTGCAAGAGAGCAAACTTCTTCAGTGACCTGACCATGCACCCCTCTAAGTTCCTTGAGGATGACTCTTCCAAACTTACGCAACCAACTGCCTATTGTCCATCTTACTAGTATGTCCCTTACAGTCTCAAAGCGGAGATGGCTATAAGGTGAATCCATCAGTTACCCGCATCTGTTTATTTTTTAATTACCTTTTATTGAAGTGTAGTTGCTTTAGTGTTGTGTTAGTTCCTGCTGTACAGAAGAATGAACACACATACATACCCCGCGCTTTCAGACTTCCTTCCATCCAGGTCACCGCAGTGCGTTAAGTAGAGTTCCCTGGGCCTGTCTTTTTACTTCTACTCCGAAAATGGTTCCTCTTTCAGTGCGTGGGATCAGTAGCCAGCCATTTTCCTAAATAAGAAGCACTCTACCTCTCCTTCGGCCTCCTTATCTTCTTTGTGGCTGTAATCTCTTCCCTGACCTTAGCACTCAACACACACACACACCCTAGTCTTCATTTCTATAAACACAACCTTGGATGATACATATCCTGATTCATATCCTAATTTTCCTATCAGTTTTCAGTCTATCAAATTCTTCCTAGAGATTTGTGGAAAAATAAACATTTATCACTTCCAACTCTACTAAAAATTTTTGCATGCTTCCCCACTGTCTGGGGGCAGTGCTATCCAAAAAATAATTTTATAATTATAGAAATGTGCTATTTGCACTAAACCACTAGCAATATGTATGCACTGAGGACTTAAAATGTGCCTAGTGTACCCAAGGAATATAATTTTTATTTGGTTTTAATTAATGTAATCAACCATATTTGGTTTATCAGCTACTATTACATAACACAGCTCTAGGTTCAAGAGGATTAAAATCTAAACTACCCAGCATTATATGCAAAACCAT